TATTCCATTTGTGTAGTAATTCCTGCAGTACTGCAGCTGCAAAATCTGACCAGACTGCTCTTTATCACAATCACTAAAGACTTTACACTTGTCAAATCACAAACCATAGCTTTGCTTGACCTGATGGCAGCTTCCTGGTGTGCCAGAAGCTCTTCTTTGAAAAACTCTTCTATGTCCTCTTCTTCCTGTATCACTGGCTAATCCTAATTAATTGATTTGACTTTATAAACCAATCCCCTTTTTTCTCATCAGAGACATTACCATGTATGTTATCTTTTCTCCAACTACATTGATACCAAGTATACTGCATCAACTGTCATTCTTGACATGCTTGTGACAGGTTAATAACTTTTCTACAACATATGAACACTCATCACCTTTCCTAAGAGAGCTTTGTCCTAGTACAAGCATAATTGTCATTTTAGGGAGATTCTTGTTTGAATATCACTTGATCACTTGACATCCCGTTGCTCGAGAAGGCACCAGTAATGTATCTGTTTATCCCTGTCAGGTGCTAGTGTAACCCAATGGCATCTGCTCATTCTAGGAACACAAAGAGCCTCAAATCAATTGTTCAGGGTCTTGACAAAGAAGTATGACCATCTGGTAGGTGGGTGGCCACACAATCTTTTGATGTTCCATAAAATCCAGTCGGTAACGGCTCTAGTTCAGCGGTTCTCTCCAAATCTCATTACATGTCCAGCCCATCTGATTTTCGACACCTTTGCAAATGAGACAGCATTCCTGATACTTGAACGTTGATGGAGGTCAGAATTTCGGATTCCTTCTCTCATTTGAGTGAAGTGGGTTACTCCAAGCATAGCTTTTTTTTTCCTCGTTGGGAGACCCGGATAGAGTTCTCATCCTGTTTTCGTGGGGCCCAAGTCTCTGAGGCATATGTGAATGCAGGAAGAAGAGTGGAATCAAAGACATGTGCCCGGAGCCAGAGGTTCTTCATTCTCTTAGCTATTTCTTCGACACTCTTGAAGGCCTTCCAAGCCACTCTCTTCCTCCTGTGCAACTCAGGTGCCAGGCATTTGTCATGTTGAGTTCTTGACCCAGGTACACATAACTGTTGCACTGGAGATATTCATCCTGTTGAGAGTGAATGGAACTTCAGGAATGAGACTGTTTCTCATAAACATTGTCTTTGGGAGATTCAGCTGTAGTCCAACCTTTTCACACTCACGGTTGAAGTCGGCCAGCATTTGTGCCACTTGGCTAATGTTTGGTGTTATTAGAACAATGTCATCAGGAAAGGGGAGTGAGTTGGTGTAGTTGCTGATGGTCTACCTTCACTCCCATTCTTTCCCATTCTAGTCATCGCATGATGTTCTTGAGGTTGGCACTGAAGAGTTTTGGTGAAATGATATCACCCTGCCAAACCCCTCTCTTGACATCGATGATCACTTCTTTGTAGAATGGTGAGATCCTGGTAGTGAATCCGTAATACAGCTCACGGAGGCTCCTGATGTATTGACTTTGAATGCCCTGTTTGGCTGGGACTTTGATGACTACTTCCATCTCAACAGAATCAAAGGCCTTCTTTAAATCAATGAACGTTAGACAGAGCAGTATCTTGCACTCCTGAGAAACATCAATGAGTTTGCTTATCGTATGAATATGGTCGATCATGCTGAATCCTTTGCAGAACCCAGCTTGCTCTTATGGTTATCTTTCATCTAGTGTTCTGCCAATCCTATTCACGATGACTTGAGTGAACAGCTTGTAGATGACAGACAATAAAGAGATCGGGCAATAGTTGACAATGTTGTGCATGTTTCCCTTCTGGTAGAGTAGTAGAGTCCTGCTGGTTTTCCATTGGGACAGAACCTTGCATTCAGACTGGTATTATGTGAAGAGCTGAGCCCGTGTATTGATGAGTATCAAGGGCAGATTCTTCAGGTGTTCGCGTCTGACCTTGTCTGGTCCTGGAGCTGTTTTCTTCTTTACCGACAAAATGGCATGTCGGATTTCAGAAGGGAGAACGTTGGGAACAACATATGCATCCCATGGAATTTGATATGTGGGCAGGTGCACGTGGTTATCAAAGAGATCCAAGTAGAAGTCATGATTAATCTTCTCCATTGCCCTTCTGGAAGATGTGTAGATCCATCAGGATGTCAGAGGGCAGTCATCTTGGTCTTGTAGTTGGTGAAGGACAGGTGGGAACTGCAAATGCTTTTCCTCATTGCGAATGCATTTCTTTGCTTTTCCTCCACTACCTCCACTATCTGCACTACCCAGCTGCTGCCACGCTCCAGGACGCTTTCAGGACACTCGGACTGAGAAGTCACACATGAATAAAGCCCTGCAGAACCTGGCAAGTGCTACTCGGAGACCTTGGACTCTAGGCTCAATGGACCCAGGAATGGGAACAGAGATCTTCTGCCTGCTTTCAACAACCTCAGGTGTCTAAAGGAATTAAAATAAGGAGCCCACCCTACCATGCCCTATCTGCTTCCACCAACTGTGACCCAGGGATTCCACACAGAAGACTCACCCTACCAGTATTAGATAAATATTTCACCAGCAGACCTCCACTGCCTCCACTATTTCCACTACCCAGCCTCTGACATACTCCAGGATACTTCCTGGAAACATCATAAGACACATAATGTCCATCTTGCAGGATTGAGCACCAAATTTGATAGGGTTCAAATATGTTTTGAACCATGGGAACACCTGCAAGTATGATTAGAGGCTGCCCTAAAAGCCTCTATCCCTCTTGGAGAGAATGGCAAGCTACCGAGCATATCCCGCCTGCATGGCAGAGCCTGGCAAGCTATCTGTGGCATATTTGATATGCCAAAACCAGTAATTACAATGGGTTTCACTACCCTGACCCTGAAAGAGCCACCAATATGGCAGCGTTAAGAAGGATGAGAAAGGAGAGGCTGATAAATTCTCCAGGCCGAACTGGGCTGGCAAAATGAAGAAAGACAAAAATGACTGTCTGTACTTTCAATGCATGTACCCTGGCATCAGATGCATCCATCGAGGACCTGATGGTACAAGCAAGAAAGATCAAGTACGACATCATTGATCTGACTGAGACCAGAAGGCATCAATTACATTACGCTGTTTTCAACACTGGCAAATAACTGTTCCTTGGAACATGCGACAAAAGAGGCATTGGTGGTGTTGGTGTCCTTGTCAACACAAACTTGGCCATAAGCATTGATTCATTCGAATGCCTAACAACTCAAATCAGACGATTACACTTGAATAGATGTGGCTCACTGCCGACAGTTTCTATCTCCTTTGTCTATGCACCAACATCCAATTATGATGAAGGAGAAATTGAGAAGTTCTACATGGAGCTGGAGAAATTCTATAAAGACCACACCTTCTACAAGATCATTGTCGGTGATTTTAATGCCAAGATAGGACCGGGAAATCAGTCCCTTTGAATATACTCTCCTAAAATTCCTCCCATTTCTATGGAAAATTAAGCAGCATATTTACCACTTGCTTAACACTTTTGTAAAGGACAGTATTTAAAATATTATCTCATTTCTTTAAAATGTTGGCCTATTATGTCTAAAATACAGGTTCACAGTAGCAGCTACCTTATCTCTCTCCTTTCCAATTCTGTCTTTGTTTTTGGGTGACACCCAGAAGTGCTCACGGATTACTTCTGGTAGAACACATGCAAGGCAAGTGCCCTCTCCATTTTGCTATTTCTCTGGCCTATCTCCTTTCCAATTCCATCCCTGGCTTCAGGTTGCAAGTTCCAGTCCCCAGTACAAGTAAGAGCAAATGATTGTTGAAGAAAGAAAAAAGGAGGAGGAAGAGGAAGATAAGAAAAAAGTAGAGGGTTGGAGATTAGAAACCGTTTTATGTCCTAGTGGCCAGATTAAATAGTGTTATGGCATTTATAATAATAAGAATTGGCCTTATTTCATAATACACAGTTAAATTTAAATAGAAAATATCTATTCTGAATATTTGCAGAAAGATGGGTTTTAATCGTCACCTGCAATGGTTACAAAAATAAATACAGTGGAATATGCATTTTTACACTTGTCCTAAAAATCCAATGTTTTGGTAACAGTTACAAAGAAAATTATCATAATTAAAATAATTATTTAGTTACATTTTTATCCTTCTTCTTACATTTTATGAGTTAAACTTTATCACATATTGTATTCAATGTTTTAACAATGAAAGAGAATAATATACGCTTTCCCTAATTTAAAAAGCTTTTTCTTTTCCAAAGTACTTAATTCTTTTATCTTTCCAAAAACACTCTCTTCTATAGGCATTGTACTGTAAATGTTTATAAAAGCAACATTGAATTTGAAGTGAACTTAAAAATGCTTACAGAAACACAGAGGCATTCAACTACTGTGTTTTGTTTATATTTTTCATGATCCGTGATTTGATAACCATACTGTTGCATAAATTATCTTAAAATATTTTCCTATTTTTCATGCACAGTTTCCAGGAGAACCTAATTTTCATTTGACACACAGAGTATTTTGTTTTTGAAAGAAATTTGCATACTAAGAAAAGTAGCAAATGAACAAGTGAAAGAAGTCAGGGAATCATTGAAACCAACAGATTAAGCTCTTTGGATAACTTTGAAGACTGATATGATCTCTTAACAAAATTAATAATGTATTGCGCTGTTGTTCACAAACTGATGCTAATTTTTCCAATATTTGCTGGAGCACAGCGGGTAGGGCATTCGCCTTACAAGCGGCCAACATGGCTGACCCGAGTTCGATTCCTCCGCCCCTCTCGGAGAGCCCGGCAAGCTACCGAGAGTATTCGATATGCCAAATACAGTAACAACAAAGTCTCCAATGGAGATGTTACTGGGCCCGCTCGAGCAAATCGACGATCAACGGGAGGGCCTTTTACCTTTACCTTGATTGAACAAAGTTGCAGAAGAAGTGTGAATGTAAAAGTCGGCACCATTCAATTCTAAAACATATACTTGAAACTTTGAGTTATTTGTTAAGGTATCTCTGATGTAAATGAACAGGCAGTACCTTCTGGAGACATCTCTGGTACAATGGCCTCATAGGGTTCATCTAGGAATTTTGGTTCATTGTCATTGATATCCGTAACTCTGATGACAAACTCAGACTCAGGCTCCACTGCCTTTCCAGTAGTGGTGTCGATTACCTGCGCTCTTAGCGTGTAGAGGGCTCGTTCTTCTCTATCAAGCCTCTTTATGGCATATATGTCACCTGTCTTGCCATCAATGATAAAGGTGTTATTAGCTCCTTCTCCCAAAAGCTCGTACTTGAAAGAGTCATTTCCGTCGTCTAAATCAGTTTGGAGCTGCAAGTAGAAAAAGCATAATTTAGTTCCAGACTCCCTGACTGAATGTCATGTTTGTTGATTTTATTCCTCTGTCTGCTTTTTCTCCAAGAATTACATCTATTCCTCATATTATATGAAGTATAGCGCAATGAAAGTCTTAAGACTCAAATGTACCATCAAGTAGTCTCTGAATTTTCATTGTAAAGAACATTAGAAGAAAGGAATCAATTAGAAACTAAAATAATTGAAAAGAATATTTCTTTACATAAATTACACACAACAAAGCTGTTTTAAGTGAGCTCCGTGAATACTCCATGAAGATACTGGAACCACACTTTCATGATCTATATTAGACTGGGACTTGGGGACAGATCATAAAATAATAATCTACATGAATAGAGACAGTCATGATATGTCTCAAGGCAAAAAAACACAGAGAAAAACAAAAGGAAATTTGAGTAAAAAATGTGAGCTGTAACGAAGAGAGTAATAATCTTAACCATCCATAGGGCATTTGCCTGTTATACTCTGAATTAATTTTTATTGCTTTCTCAATTAATCTTTATAAAAATTGGATGAGTGTCTTCTGTATTGATGCAACAAATCCTTTCTGTAAAGATTGGGCCATTGAGAAAGTTCACAGGGCAGATGCAAGATTTCATGAGAAGGGGGGCTGGATTGGACCTCCAGCACTGTAAAGTTCCTTGAGTTCAAAGGGCAGATGCATCGTTTCATAAGGGGGAACTGTGTTGGACCTCCAGCTCTATGCAGTCCCCTGAGGGCTGTTGAGGGTTATCTATGAATCCAGAGCTGGGAGTCGCCCTTGAAAACATCCAAGTGTGTCTGTCCTCTACAACCCCTTCACTCCTGTAAAACACAAAGAAATAAATGTGAGTCTGATTTTACTTTTGTTTGGTTTGGGGGCCATACCTGGTAGTGCTCAGGGTTTATCTCTGACAGTGCTCTGGAGACGGCTTGAGGTGCTAGGGCTTGAACCTCGGTGGGGTATATATATGAAAGGATGCCCCTGCCCACTGTGCTATCTTTCTGGATCTTACAGACTTTTAGAGTCCAGGGGCTTTCCTGAGGATTTGTGACTTAACCTTCAGGTCATGCTGATCCTGAGAGATCCTCCTTAAAACTTGAGGCTTCAGCTCTTATGTTTTTGGCCAACTTAGATCTAAGATGCTTTTCTTCTGAACACAATCTACCCATTCTCAATTTTTTTGCATTCTCATTATTTTTACTATTAAAATTGAAGCAAATGTTATATATAGAATATATATGTGTGTAGATATATATATATATATATATATATAGAGAGAGAGAGAGAGAGAGAGAGAGAGACTGGAGTGATAGCACAGCTGTAGGGTGTTAGCCTTGCGTGTAGCCAGCCCGGCCAGATTCGATTTCTCTGCCCCTATCAGAGAGCCCAGCAAGCTACAGAGAGTATCTCGCCCGCACGGCAAAGCCTGGCAATCTACCCATGACATACTCAATATGCCAAAAAACAGCAACAAGTCTCAAAATGGAAACGTTACTAGGCCCGCTTGAGCAAATCGATGAACAATGGGATGACAGTGTATATATCTATATATATATATATGTATATATGTATATATATATAATAGAGAGAGAGGTTACAATGATAATGGTTACATTTTTATATCAATTTATGTAGAGTGAAAGCATTCTAGAAATAAAATGTGAATCTTAGCTAAATGGAAGTTTTCTTTGCCATTTATGCCCTAAGAACTTCTATTAAAGTGTAAAAAGTTAATTCAAGAAATAAAATATATCTTGGTGGCAATGTGCAGGGGTATCCAGTGTTTATTCATGACTCAGTGCTCTGGGATCACTCCTGGTGTTACTCAGGGGATCTTATGTGGTGCCAGAGATTGAATCAGTGTTAGCTAGAGCAAGGGAAGTGGTTTAATCCCTATTCTAGCTCTCTAGTCCAAGAAAGGCAACATTAAATAAATGCACAACCTTTCTCCTAGCTCATGTTATGAGGCATTACTATGGACTATAATTCTCTCCATAGACTTGTGAAGAATATTTAAACATGTCTAAATAACTATGTGTTCCATATTTTAATACAGTATTGACTATCACAGCAATGAAATGAAAGTAAAAGATCATAAACAATCTTCAATTGACTTTTTGTCTTTAGCTCTTTTAATTTACTTCCATTACTCATAGGATAAAAATGAAGTCTTCATACCATCGTGTTAAGGAATTCAGGTAAGACATTCTCTCCAATAAAGCTATTGTATGAAAGAAAAACCCATGTATTTATTTGATAAGAATTTGACCCCATATTTGAATGTAGAGAACTTAAATTTTAGTAATAGATAAATACAGTTCAAGTATAGGAATAATTCAACTTTCTTATTTCTTAGGTGTATTTTCTTAGCTTGCTATATTTTTGTTTGGTGCGACTATATTGTTTGGGAGGTTACACTTGCAATATTGGGGTCTAAGGTCCAAAGAGGCATGTTCCGGTACAATGCAGTGCCAGGGATAACATTACTACCTTGGACATTATAGCTTTTGCACTGACACCCTGAGATAAGTCAAAATATTATAAGAGCATCTATCACTTAATGTCATAAAAGGCATAATCTCAACCCACTTCAGTGTCATGAATTTTAGTGCCAGAAAATTTTTTTGTTTCCTTTTCAAACTAGTTTGTTCAGTGACACAGTGACTATCAATTGGCAGACAAATAGCACTTTAAGTGTTTATTTAACTAAACTTTTCGAATCTAATTGTTTAATAAAATTGACCAAAAGCAATATTGTCCTGGACACATAAATTACATTTTAGTTTTTATCAGCTTTTTAATATAACTACAGAATTGTGCTTTACTGCTCATTTCTGTATACTTGTCTGTATATTACTCGAGTATAATCAGTTGTGTAGAGAAAAAAACATCTGTCAGAATACTTTATTCTGTTTGTTCAGGATGAAAAAATACAGGCAAAACTCATCGTTATGTAAAATGCCGAAGTGGAAGATTGGTTTCGAATTAAAAGAACAAATGTGTCTATAGACTACTTTTAGCATGTCTCTCCCACCCTGGGAGGGTCTTCACAACACCCTTTATTTGGTGCTCTCTTCTCTATCTGAGCTTCCTTTTCACCTAGCACATGTGGCTGGCCTTCAGACCAAACATGATTGCCACTCAATGCCTCTCTTGCAAAACACAGTACCCAAAAGAAGAGAGATAGAACAAGGGGGAATGCCCTGCCACAGAGGCAGGGTGGGACGGGGGGGATGGGGGGTGGGGGGATGCTGGGACCTGTCGTGGTGGAGGATGGACACTGGTGGAGGGTTGGATACTTGATCATTGTATAACTGAAACCCAAGCACAAAAATTTATAAGTCATAACTGTACCTCATGGTGTATCACTAATAAAAAAATGATAAAAAAATAAATAAAAGACACTGGCATACTCTAAAAAAAAAAAGAACAAATGTGGAAAATATGTTGGTCAGCAGGGAGGCAAGTTTCATGGTGACCCCACTGATGCCCTTTCTTGCAGTGCAATATTAACTTAAAGTCACTAAAAGTCACCAGTCCATGGTAGACTGTCCCCCACTGAGCAAGGGCGGGGCACACAGGGTTTGAGACAGGTAAGTGAGCTGACACAACCGTGGAACTGATGTATGCCATCCTGCATGTAATTTACCTACAGTCTTCTTAGAAAATCTCAAGGGATGAGAATATGAAGTGTAGCGTGTTCATGTCCCCCCCTCAAACACACACACACACACACAGATACACACCACACACACACACACACACACACACATGGAAATCTCTTCATTTAGGATCCTACTCTCAAATTTTAGCTGCATGTATTTATTTTATTTGGATGAAGGGCTAGAGGAACTACTCTGAAATCTGGACCTCACACTCATACTACAGTTGTCCTGAAAGGACTAAAAAAAGGGAGTTAATGAATTTTGAACGCTTCACCCTTTGGGCCCAATTAAATTTTAGTGCCGGTTAATTACTGGTTAAACTTATTTCGGTTCATTCATCTCAAGACAGAGTCTCATAGAAAAGAACATGTTGCTGTAATTACCTCTGTTTAAAGAAAACCAAATAAATAATAAAACCCCAAAATATAAATAGGAACTATTCTGTCTCATTAAGGAGGCATTCTTAAACACACTCATGGAAGAAAGAGAAAATATTCTTTGTACCTCAACTTCACTAATCAGATGCAGTGCACAGGCATTCGAAGCTATTTCATGGCAAGGGGACTGGGTATTAAACTGCTTCATTACAAATTAATGAGGGGTAAATCAACATCTACTTAGCATAGGAGAAAATCAGGCTAAATATTGGTGGTAAACACAATTACTCTCAGTGTGGCTGTTTTGACCTATCACCTAAGAAAAATCCCTCTGACACGCAGATTTTGACAAGCATGCTGTTATCTCACAGGGGGACCAACGTGAAATTTGAAAACCACAGTTTCCTTCTGCCTTGACTTTTTGTGACCATTTCAGATGCTTGTAAATCTTTTTTTTTTGGTTTTTGGGTCACACCCGGCGACATACAGGGGTTACTTCTGGCTCATGTACTCAGGAATTACTCCTGGCGGTGCTCGGGGGACCATATGGGATGTTGGGAATCAAACCCAGGTCGGCAGTGTAAAAAGCAAACGCCCTATTGCCCCAGCCCCAGTAAATCTGAAACCACTATTATGCTGGTGTTTAGATCATAAAAAAAAGGGATTGAGCCAAAACCAGACATCCTGGATATATTTCTTTAGAGGACTACAGCTTGTCCTCTACAGCTGCTTAGAAAAGTGGTGGTACCTGGCCAATGTGATAACGGCTGGTATTTAATTCTTCAGGCACATCGAACTGTTGCCATGTCCACCCACGTTTCTCCCTCAGAAGAGACTGTCTCGGTTTCTTAATATTCTCCACGCTGGAGTCGGCTGTTGGCATAAAACAAGGCCAGAGAAGAGAAATTCCCAAAATTCCAGGTAGCAAGGAAGAAGAATTCATTCTGCAGCTTGGATGCCAAGGGGTGATCCTTAGAGAGAGCGCAGGGTGTGAAAACGCAGTTCCTGGATTCCTTGGTAATCCTGTCTTCACTCTCAAGTGTCAGTCAGAGACCTATAAGATAAGAAGGAAATCTTGACATTTTGAAAATAACACCTTCTCACATAATTATGAAAGACAGGTCACAAGTTTGGCATCCCTCAAAATGAAACCAAGATATACAATTTATCTTTCAATTAAGCCTATTAATTATATTTTGTAGCTCAGCAATAATTTGACTGGAATAATTATAAAATTTCTGCTTAAGCACTGTCCATTATTTTTAACTAGCACAGTAAATCTGTCTGAAGGGTGAAAAGTCATTCTGTCACTCTCCTTGACTGATAACTGACATTGAGACATGTTAAATAAAAAAAAATTTAAAAATGTGCTTGCTTCTTTTCCTCCATTTCAGTAAAACACAAACTATCTTATTAAAGGGGCAGATGAACGAAGGCTGTAGAAACTGCCAATTTTCCCTTATTTTTCAAGGAAATGAGTTTTCCCAAATTATGCTATTTTATGTTTTGTTGAAATTACTTTCTAGGGCCAAAATGGAATCATAGAAGCCAAAGGCACTATAGTAGCAAATAGAAATCTTGTAAATTTTGTTTTGTTTTGTTTGCAGTGGGGTTGAGGGCTGATGGTGGGACCACGCCCAGCAGTTCTCATGACTTTCTCAAGCTCTATACTTAGACATCACCCATGGCGGGGCTCAGGGGACCATATCACCATATTGGGTGCCAGATGATTGTACCCAGGTCAGCCATTAGCAAGGCAAGTGTCTTACCCACTCTACTACTGCTCAGGCCCCAAGATAGCTTCTTTGTTTTTCCTTAACTGGAAAGGCAAGGATCACTTCAACGAATGCAGGAGGCAAATAGATTTGTACCAGCAAACTTGTGTTTTCAGGGAAATTGAGTTTAAGACATTGAGTTGTCTTCTCAGAGGCCACAAAATTTCTGTGACCATCAAAAAACTCTACTTGCCTAGAAATGCAAACTATTTAATCATCTAAGATTCAAATGCGCAGGTCCTACAAGTTTGGCATCCCTAAAATGAAACCAAAATGCACATTAATTTTATCTTTCAACTATCCCTGTTAATTGTGCCAGTTTATTAATTCCTTCTAATCCCAAATGAGAAGAACTCTAGGACCCTCAAATTACATATTTTTAATTTTGTCTCTTCATTGCTCTTTATGCCATAATTTTCCTATTTTCTACAGCATTTTATAGTTTCCTGAGAATGTGAATTTTATTATAAGGTTGATTCTGTCAGTGAAAGAGTCTTCCTCAATTATTTTAACAGTGATTAATTAGATAGAATGACAAGGCAGTTTAAATCCAGGTGGATTTCATAATCAGTTATATAATATTTTATAGCAACATGAATAAAACTATATAAAAATAGTACTATTTCATATTTTAGAATATATGAAAACTCTCTTTATCTTAACAAAAATTAATCTCCAGCAAACAGACAACAACTGATACTGAATGGGTAAAAGTGACTTAATGTTTATGAGGGAAAAATTATGAAAGATATTACTGAATATTAAAACCAAAACTCAACCTACTGAGTTTAAAATTTTTTAATGTTTAAAAAAATTAGCCTGAACTTTCCTTGTTCTCCTTGCACATGGCTGTGACTGGTTTGATCTCCACTCTGCATGAGATACCAAGAGCATTTCCAGGAGTGATCCCCGAGGAGAGAGGGAGGAGTAAGCCCCCTGAGCACTCCCAGATGTGGCCACAAAACTAAAAGAAACCCCCAAACCTTCATTTATCTATCTTGATCACACTAACCTTTTGAAAGGACAGGCAATTCTCACTCATGAAATTGAATAGTTTTATATTTTTCACATCTAGAAAGCAGCTCCATTTCATCAAATTGGAATTTTTTATTTTTTGGAGAAATACATTAAAAACATTTCCCCCCACAGAACTGCTACAGTGGAGGTGAAGAGGGAACCGAAAGGGCATGGAGTAATCTAGTAAACACAATTGGTTATTTGAAATCTCACTTGAGTGAGTAGTCAGTGAGACAGAGAATAGAAATGGCTCAGGGCAGAAACATCAAAAAAGGTGCAGCTCCTGGTGTACCAGTGATGCAGAGTAGAATTCTAAACTTCTCCAGGAGTTCTAAAATTTTGATGGGGTGATAATAGCTGGGGTTAAATTTTTACTGGCTGGTGAATCTGGAGTCCAGAGGTATCTCTGCAACTCAGTGGTCTCTTTGGAGATGTATATATGAGTCTCTGGATCATGGCCAGTTAATGAGCTTATTCAGTGCTGGAGGCAGTTCATGGGTGTGACTGCCAGGCTCCCAGAAGAACAGTGAGATGGAGGAAGGTTGTACATCCATGACTCAACTCTGTGGGAGCCTGGAGATTTCAGTCAACAAACCCACATACCTGAGTTTTTCAACAGATTCATTCACGGATGGGGCTCTCCAGAACCTGCGGAGTCCATTGGATGAGATGTGAAGCAGAAGGCAACCAACCTCAAATTAAGAAAATATTAATATACCAGGCTTAACCTGTAACAACGGGTTAGTAATCTATAATATAAAGCTTAATGGCTCCCGGGTGAGATACAACAATCTTCACACACTTTCTTCTAAAAAATATTTTTTTGATTATTTTTAGCAAATTGATCATAGCAATACGAAATCAATCATTTTGGGCCTGCTACTAGGGCAGGCTTGGGCAGTGGTTGCAAAAATAGGAAATAATGGTGGTGGGAATGGTGTTGGAAAATTGAATGTAATAAATCACTGTAAACAATTTTATAGAAAAGGTTTTCTTAAAGAGATGCAGGAGAGGGAATCCCCTCTTACACGTTTTTTTTTTTACTAACTTACTGTGAAGGTTTGAGAAAGAAGAGGAATTTCTATCTTTTCCAAATTCTCCATAGAATGGCTTACTAATCAAAGGTTACTTTCAACAAGCCAGAGTTCTCCTGAATATATATACTCTGACAAAGATCGCCCAGACAATGTCCATCTCTAAAAGACTTGGAAACCTAATGACAGCTAGGAGCCCTGTGCCCTTTAACTCCGTATCATCCTCCAGGGCTTCTGAAATTTAACACACAACCACCCTTAGGCTCTCAAACCACACAGCCCTGGTTTCTGTCTATGTCTGCTCTAACTTTGCCCTGAGCACTACACCTGAAATCAGGTACCTACAGCTGCAAAGCACAGAGCACAACCCTCCAGTCACACCCACCAGGCTTCATGGGGAGACTGAGGAACTCACTGAAACTAATGACCAAGAAAACCACTGAGAAAACAGCAACAGAGTTATTCAAGCTACCGGAAGAAGATGTCAAAGCAACAGTTCATAGCAATGGTCACTGATCTAAGAATACAGTTTGAGAAAAATTTCATTGTCTTTTCTGTTGCTGTTGTTCCAGTTGACCTATGCTTTACTCTTGTTTATGGACTAAGAATTTAATGACTCCTGGCACTGCCAGGGTGGGACAGAGAGAGCCCTGGGACTGCAGGACCCGAGTTGCATCATCTTTTGGGGATGTTGTACTGAACCACTGGGCTGGCTGAGGAAGAATTTTCACTGGGGTACACAGACCTTCTGAAAACAGCTTGGAAAATCTCAACAACAGCTAAAATTTCAATGAGTGAAAAATATAATCTTTAACAGAAAATACCCTAAGATCTGAATACTTGGAAACTTATTAAACACTTTCATTCTATATGTAACAATGATGCACTGAATAATATATTTGAATATGATACTAAAATAACAACCCATTTTTGGTGCCATTAACTATTCAGATTCATGTTTTTCTGAGTCAATTGAATAATTGTCACAATTATGGTTGATATTAAGTTGTGGTAGTTTTGCAGAAGTTTAAATATGTCCCCCCACAATCCAATTCACTTTAAGTATTTTCAGTTTAGTATTTTCAATTATTCCTTATGGCTGAAAATCTTTATGGTTCACAACTGTGAAGAATGAATTAAACAACTATTTAGATTAAAACAGATAATTGATGAACACTGATACATTAAAATAGGATATAAAGAACACAATTTACTAAGTATTTCTACCAAAGTAACTTGAAAGATATTTTCGGGTTATCATAAATAAATAAACCCATGATATAAGAACATAGTAAGTAAAACAAATTAACTAAGCTTTTCCAGATTGTGAACTTTCTACAGATTTTTCTAGCCACTGTGCATTTTTTGAAAAAAATAATCCTTTTCAAAATTTCTAATTCATTAGCTAGTGCCTATCCAGTGACTATGTCTGCATTTTTATCACAGTGTACATAAGATCTGTACACAGTTGCATCTTACAGGATACTTAATTAGGTACTTATCTATTAAGAACCAGATCTAGTTTCTTCAGTGGATAAAGGAAATTGAACATTCTAGATTAAAAGATATTTAAGAGACTCAAGGGCAAGTATATAATGATGACATTAAGTTCTGATTTATGCAAATCTATTTTTATCTTAACATTGCATTGTTTTTCAGAATTTTATATGAGTTAGGTGTAAGGTTATTAAGAGAAACTATTGTTAATTTTGTCAGTTAAAGACCTTTTCTCATATTCAAAGACAACTTTCTTTTAGTAACATATGCTGAAATATGTGGATGTTGAAAATTACTTGAAGTCCACAATTTTCTTTAAAACATTTTAGAAACAGTAGAAGAACTGGAAAAACTACTAAGGTAAAACCATCTAATTATTATAATTAATTATTTTAAATTAGTTTTTATAGCACAGTGGTAGGGCGTTCGCCTTACAAGCGGCCAACATGGCCGACCCGAGTTCGATTCCTCCGCCCCTCTCGGAGAGCCCGGCAAGCTACCGAGAGTATTTGATATGCCAAACACAGTAACAGCAAAGTCTCCAATGGAGACGTTACTGGGTCCACTCAAGCAAATCGACGATCAACGGGAGGGGAAAAAAAATGAATAATTTCTAAAATTAGATCATTGCTATTTT